TGAGGTGGCATCACTGACAAGGGGTTCTCAAGGGACTTGGGGATCTGTTACTGGCTTCTACTGTGTCCCCACCTCGCCTATCACTGCTCATCAGGCTCATGACACACACAATGGCCCGATCTGGGACTGAGCTGTGTCTAAAGAGCCGAGGGTCCACGTCCCATCTCCTTGACATTTTCCTTGGGGTTTCAGGAGAGAAACAAGGACATGGAAGTTTCTTCCTCTCACAGCGGAAACCCTCCTAGGAACCACTGCTAAGTCCAGAGGTTTCTAGAAGGCCCAGGCTGAACTGAAAGTTCCAGGAACTCCTGTCCCCCGCCACTCACCCCGATCCTAGTCCGGGTTTCCACTCTAAGATGAGGAAAGAGCAGTATCACCATTTTTAGGGTTCAGGGGCAAAGCCTGGAGGAATTCCTTCCATTCCGGTGACGTTGGGGGCAGAGTCAAACATCAGGGGTCCCCCCACTCAGCCCTGGGATCAGCCTTGATCATGATGCTTTTCTTGCTCTGGACCAGTGTGGGCCCCTCCCTGCCTAGAAGGTCCTCCAGAGGGATGGCCACTCTCCCATTATCCAGGGGGCACCCCCCAACACAGATACCGATCGGCTTTATTATTACCTATTGTAAAACATCGAGTTCAAGCAGAAGAAACATACATGTAAACATTTGCTGTCTGTCCGGACAGGTTTGGTTATTGGTGGCGTTGTTTAAGCAGCAGGTGCAACTCCATCTCCACAGGACCCAAGTGTTTTTTGTGAGCGACCGGTCAGAACTGAGGGCCTGTACTCCTGGTCTACAGCACCGGGCGGCGTACGAGGGTGGCTGGCATTTTGAAGAGTGGTTGGGGTTGTTGTTGTTGTTGTTGTTTTTTTGTGTGTGTGTGTGTCCTGGTGGCTTGTTATTTGAGTGTCTCAGAAACACAATTTAGACAAAGAGATGGTAGCAGGGGAAAAAAAACACCAAACAAACCAAAAAACTGAACACCTGGCTACATCTTTGGATTACTGGACTCGAGGATGCCCAAGCCAAACCTCTCAAACCGGGGTACCACTTTGCTGCTGTTAATGCTGCAAAAAGGAAGAAAGACAAAGGTTACCGCCTCATTGGTCTTAATGAGAAGCAGAATGACACCAGCTAAGGAGCAGGCCAGTTCCAGCAACTCAGCTAAGGGACTGGCCACCCACCAAGAAGTGAACATGATCGCACAGCTACAGCCTTGACAGACTAGCTCCTGGTCACCTGGGCCTGGAGGGCAAGGGGTAGCACCTCGCTCGTCTGGAATCCCAGGTGCCTAGCACACTCAGGAACTGCCATGGTGCATTGGAACAGTGTTCCTGTTTGCTCCTGGTCTCCGTGGAAGCGAGGGAGAGAAGAAGCTGACCCCCGGGACTGCAGTTAACATCTCACACTCCTTTTGAAAATGCTTCACAAACTTTGGGGTCCATCAGGGTCATCTGGGAGACTAAGGCAGAGTCCCAGAGCCTGGAAGGCAGAAAGTCCCTGGCCCAGCAGTTAGAATTCAGCCAGCTCTCCAGTGACATGGATGTAAAAGACCTGAGATTCATCCCCGATGACCACGAACGTGGGGTCTGTGATGTGTGGGGTGTTGGGAGGAGGAAGGGGGGACAGAAGCTCTATTTTTATTAATGAAATTTGAGACTGGCACCTCTTTGCTTTAGGAGAATTATCCTGAGGGGACAGCCCTTTGGAGCTCACGTCTTTCGTGACAACAGGGCTTGCTGGGCCACATCCTCCCCGCCTGACTTGGAGTCAGCAGGAGTTCTGGTGACCATAGAAACCTGGGTTTTAAGGTGATGTGGCCTTTTGCAGCTCTAAAATCACTCCACTCCTTGTTGGACACGATCCCCTGGGTTAAAAGCCAAGCAAATTTCCTACCCTGAGCACAGGAGCAAGCCCAGCAGGAGCGCTGGTGCTCTGAGCAGGTGGGATTTAATATCACTGGGATGTTAGTAGTGGGACAGCATCATCCAAACAGAACCACAGCCATCCCACAATGGAAAGAGGGGACAGAGAGCAGAGTCCCATCCAGGAAGGCAGTTAGAAGTTGCCAGAGCCCCGAGGTGGGGTCCTCCCGCAATGCAGTCACTAAGGGTCACCCAGGCCACACGGAGCAGCAGGGAGTGTGAGAAACAAAGAGAAGGAGGAGTCTCGCAGACAGTGCCGGAGCAGCGGAGGATCCCCGGGTTAGTGCCCGCGTTGCGTTTTGCGTTTTAGTAGAAGTCCCGGTCCCAAGTTGTCGGTTAGGAGGAAGGAAGCCCTGGATGCATGCAAGGCAGTCAGGCTACAACCTATGGGAGGGGAGAAAATGGAGAGAGCAGCGTCAGCACCCGCAGCCCCAGCTGAGTGTGAAGACGCCCTGTGAGGGCAGTGGGCAGGGGACCGGCTTTCCCTGCAGAGAGAGAAAGAGAGTTAAGTGCCCTGTCCCACCCCAGGCCTGGCAGTAGCGCCAACTTGGGAGTCTGGGAGCAGAAAACCTTCTAGAAATGCCCTCATGGGCCCAGTCACGATTCCGATGAAGGTGCTCAATAGAGATTAGCTAATGACTCATCACTCCTTACCCCATGACTAGCAAAAATGACTTGCTAGAGCTTACTACTTCTGCTCAGATTCCCAAATTTTAAAAATCTGGGCAGAGGAAGCGCTGGGGACTTGGACCAATGATCTGAGTCGTCTTCCACGCATAGATAAGCCAGCTCTCTGTCCACATCTGGCTGCACTGTCCGTGGACACAGGGTCTTCTCTCAGCCTTGCTGGCCATTTCAGCAAATAGTACTCTGGTTTATGGGCGTCTAACACAGAAAGATGGGGAAGCTGGGATGCAAACACGAAACAGGAAGCAGGGTTCAATGGCATAATTGCAAGCAGGCAGAAAAGAAGAGAAAAACCCCAACAAAACAGAAAACACACTATTCCTCAAGAACCAGATGGGAGTTCTTAAAGTCAGGGTGACCATAATGTCCTTTCAGATAGTAGCGGCTCCGACGGCGGCTGGGGTGGCAGCGCCCGTTCCGCCAGGTGTGGGAGGAAGGTGGTCCATGGGGAGCGCGCCCCGCAGATGATGGTGCAGGAACCATGGCGATGAGAAATGGAGATGACAGGCCAGGCCGGAGCACCCACCACCCCCCGAAAAGAAAAACAGCAACAAGACCAATGGAAAAAAGAGAAAATGAGAATTAGAGGTTGAGTGTGAAAAAAAGTGAAAATCACGAACAAAGCTTTCAACACAGACTCATTCCTGAACAGCAGTGAGCTCCTCCAGGGGCCTAGGACAGATCATAGTGGGCAGGTAACTGCCCCACCGCGTGACTCAGCTCCCCACCTGAGAACTGCGAAGATGGGCCTGGTTGGTTGCTAGAGATTCTAGAATGAGCTCCTGGATGCCAGGACATGCCTACTGCAGCCTTCTCTTTCAGTTGAGAGAAACAGGACCCAGGCTGCCGATAGTCCAGCAGAACCAGACAGGAGATGGGCCTCGCCTCCTCACCACCATCTCTGAACTGTGAGCAAGTCCAGGAGAGAATTTTGGTCCAGCCTCTGCTGATCACTCCCCATCGAGATACAGCTCCAGCCCCCACCTCACTGTCAGAGAGAGCCCTGTGCATTCCACATCACTCAGCATAGTCAAATCATCCAGTCATTCTCCCAGTATTTTTTTCCCCACAAAATTATGGAAAGCTTCACAAATTTGCATGTCATCCTTCTGCAGGGGCCATGCTAATCTTCCCTATATCATCCCAGTTTTAGTATATGTGCTGCCAAATAAGTGCCCAGTATTTATTGAGCAACTACTATGATCTTCAGATAGAGCTAAAAGGGTCTACAGAAGTGAACACGACAGAGTTCTAGCCACCCAGCAGTTTCGTTACTTGTGTCTGCATATCTTTATCCTTGATTAGACTCTCTGCTGGCAGAGGCTCAGCCCAGCCACCTGTGTGTCCCCAGGTACTAACAAGTACTTAGCAATGGACTACTATCTCACATACCTCTTCCAACTTCCCCGTTTGTATTGGACTCTGGTCCATCTTACGAGCCAAACACGGCAAATTAATACTGCACTGTAAGATAAAGCTGTCGTTCATCCAGACCTTCCCTTCAACTGGCCTAGACCCTCAGTGTTTGCTCTTCAAGAGCACCGCTGAAGACTAGTGGCAGGGACTGGCCATGATGTCCACCCCAATTTGCTCACTGCGCAGTCCATTACACATCACAGTGGCACCATCAGCACCCACATCTGCCTCTTGCTCCACAAAGCTTAACATATTTACCACCTGACCCTCCAGAAAAAGTTTGCCCAGCTCTGATCTTAGCCAACTCCTATTTTTTTAAGGATGAGAAACTAAGGCTCAGGAAAACAGAAGATTTCTCCAGATTCTCGGAAAGGACTGATGGTAGGTTGGAGTCTATTTTTTAGTGATCTGGCTGAACATACCCATGGGACAAAGAAATAGTCCTTATTTCACTTCCTGTAAGACAACTTCTTGTTATCACTTTCTATGAGACAGATATAGGAGACGAGTGGAGACCATCCCTTCCCTATGGGCACAAAGGCTGTGCAGTTAAATTGCAGAGGTGAAAGGGCTTCAAGCATCAGAGCAGCACAGAAACCCAAGTGATATGCTTTCTAGAGGGGTGGCTGACTTTCTGAGGAGGCCTTGTCTCTGGGTCTGAACCACGCTGAACAATACTGGCTGTGCTTGTGTTGGGGAGGTTCAATACCTATATCCCTCTTATTCTAAGCTGGCCCTATCCTGCCCTGTCCTGGGCAGAATCATTCTATCCAATCCGGGCCAGGATCAGCTCTAGGATAATTTTTTTCACTGGTAAGAACTAGAGGTGCTCTCAAGACAAAAGGAATCTTCAAGCCATTCAAAGCAAGAGGACCAGTCATCAGGCTAGTCTCCTTTGCCAGTTTCCCAGTTCCAAGTACCCAGGTGGAGCTGGAGGGCCGGAGCTACAAGTTATGGTCCCCAGGGAAGGACTTACTCGGCTGACTTCCAGAAATGCCCGGGGTGGGAGAGGCGCCGGTTCAGCTTGGGCAGTTTCTCCAGCATTTCCATCAGCAGAGGGAAGCTGGGCCTCTCCTGCAGGTCGAATGCCCAACAGGCAGACAGGATCTCCTGCAAATGGAATGGACATTCGTGGGTACCTGATATTAAGACAAATCACTGCCTGGAACAGGACTGAGAAAACACAACATTTAGGAGAGCTCTGGTTCTCACAGTTTAAAACGAAGCACACGTGCCTGCTTCCCCTCCTTCCTTCTTGGGCCCCGCCAGGACAACGGTGACCAAGAGGAACACACACCGAGTTTGGTAATGCAAAAGATCAGAAATGGAGATAATTGGGGTTTTGGTGTTTGTTTGTTTTCCCCCCAGAAAATGGAAAGTGGAAGGAAGTGTGACAGCTGAAATAAGGTATCTGGAATATGTGCGTATGGGTTAGCCACAGAGGCGGGAGCCTCGGGGTCAGCAGGAATGACAGCCAGGAAGGACAAGAACAAATAAATCAAGGGGAACTGTTGACAGTAAGACAGCTGTCCCAAGTCACCTCCTGGCCCCCCACCCAGGAAGATGAGGTCCATCCTGTGGGTGTTGTTGGCCCAGAGTAAAGCTGTCCTGCTTGGAGGCCTGGGCATGTCTACTCTCAGGATTCCCAGCCAAGGCACAGACACCACCCACTGGCTTGAGGAAATATGGCAAAGCAAAAGAAAATTCCAGATGCTACTACAGCCAGGAAGCAAGGAAGAAATTACTTAGAAAATAAGGATGTGCTTGAAATTAAAAAGCAAAAAGAAAAAAACACCCACAAACCACAAAAAAATCTAAAGCAAAACATTACTTCGAAATCCTGAGAGATAAAATCAGGAACCACCCCCCAGATTGTGGACGCAGTTGTAGAGAATGGCGGGAGATGGCACAGAAGGTAAGAGACGTGAAGCTTCACCTCACAAGGACCAAAATCAAAGATACCAGAGGGCAGAAAATCAGAAAAGAAATAATTGAAGAAAGTTTCCTAGAATTGTTTTGTAAAGGGAAACAGAAGTCTTCAAAGGGCAAAGGTTTTCATTGGGGTGGGGAGGGGACAGAGAAGGGGAGAAAACCTACATTCAAACTTGCTCAAAAGCACACTGCTTTTGAGTCAGACCCTCCACTGGGTTTTCGGAGGCAGTAAACTGCATAGAAGAAGACTGCCCAATCTTTCTCCTGTGGAGCTGCTGGTAGATTCAAACCTCCTGCCTTTTGGTTGGCAGTGCAACTCCTTGCCCACGAAGCCACTAGAGTTCCACTCTTGTTTGAATAAAAGGATAATCTTAGATGTTTTCAGCAAGAATCTAACAGGTCACCTATGAAAGTCTCAGAATCAGATCAACCCTCGGCTTCTCAGGAAGGCACTGGACACAGAGCAGACAAAAATCTTCAAAGTTCTCAGGGAAAAGTATTTTGAGCCTGAAACTCCATTCTTAGCGTGAGAGAAGGAAGGTTTCATTTTACAAGGCTTCACAATTCATGACTCATGTCTACTGGGAGGCAGTTTCTTATGGGTTCACACTCATTTTGCTGGGTGGCAGCAATTAAGAAAGGGAAAACATAAGATATAAGAAATAGTACAATTGATCTAGGAATGAGAGTTCAGGAATATCATGAAAGTGTGTGTTTCTTCTCTCCTTAAGAAAAAAGGAGGAAAGAAAAATAAACCAAACAAAAACCAACAAAACCAAAACCAAAACAAATTTAAAAAAAAAAAAAAGGCAACTAGAAACTCCTTTGACTGTACAAGAAAGACAACGTCCAAATGTGAAGATGACAAAATTACAGTTAGAGACAGGCCCACAAAGAAAATGTAATCCTGGTGAAAGTCCTCATCAGCAATCAACAGCGCCTACAGTTTATTTCAATAGTGAACACACACATCTGTTTTTAGCTTCTATCTAAATACACAGAAATGGTGCTCTAATGGCACAGTAGGTGCTAACCACAAGGTCAATGGTTTGAAACCACCACCTGCTTGGGAAGAGAAAGATGTCGTCTCTCCTTTTGATAAGATTTATACCCATGGAGACCCAATGGAGGGTCAGAATTGATTCGATGGCAGTGGTGGGCTGTTTTATTTATTTATTTATTTATTAAAAATAGACGCAGCATCAAAGTTTTAATAATAAAATTATCCTTAACAACAGAAAAATAAAGGGAAAGCTGTTGTCCAGAGGACAAAACAGAATGATGTAAAGAACTGATAGCCCAGAAAAATTCACTGGACAGCCAGATTAGTTAGTGATCTGGAAGGATTTCTTATAGGACATGGTTAAGGGTCTTTCTTTAAAGCTTTTAAGACTATGGTAGGGGTTGCGGGGAACTGGGGTGGGGACAGAGAGACAGTGTTACAGCAGCCAGTGTCTGGCTCATGAGTTTTCTTTTCAACATATTACTCTGTGTAGTGTTTAGGGGAAGGGTTAATGAACAACAAAAACTGATTCTGAATCACTGTCAAAAGTGGGGAGTTCTGCTGAGTGAGTCCGCTGACCAGCAACAGCCACACAGGACAACTATCTCACCGGTGTGCACACCCCAACTCCCAACCTATTCCTAAGAAGCTTCAAAGGAAGACCCAGAACCAGGTCCCTGAAGAAATCCTTCCAGGTCACTAAGCAATTAGTCCAGAACTCTGTTTGCCTAATGAATTAGCCAATAAGCTTTATTTAAAAATGACAAAATTAACGATGACCTTGACTGTATCCCAGGCCAATTAAATAAGTATCTTTGGGTGAAGACCTGGCACTGGCATTTTTAAAAGCTCCTAGAAAAGTCCAGTGTTTGCCAGAGCAGAGCCTAGCTCCCTGCCAGCCCTCTGATGTGCTCTGGGCTCAGCTCCAGGTCTTCACATGCCCAAGGCAGCCCTCGGCCTCTGCTGCAAGACACTAAATGTGCCGAAAGGTGACTGGCACTGGGGCCAGGAGGGCAACTCACAAGCAATTCCTTTTATTTCCCCCCCCCCCCCCAGCTAAATTAAACATACACCCTACTCTGTTTTACATAAAGATATCCTTAACAACTTTATTGCACAAAGGACCAGGATTATCTAAATGACCAATTACATAAATTCCAAAAGGTAGTGAAATTGTATGTAGGGTGCTCACAGGACAGATGAAGAAACAGATTTTAAAAATAAGGATTTATTCATAATTTAAGATGATGAACATAATTAAATACCATGTGAATGAATATTCAAGTTAAAAAAAAAAGTCTGTATGATATGATCCTGATTTCTCCAGATGTGCATTTTTAGGAAAAGGTTTAAAACCCAGGTGCCTCTTTGGCTGGTATGTGAGCTGCCCAAGGAGCCTGGACAGGAGTCTACAGCCTGTATCTTGAACCCACTGCTGTCTTCCAGGGGCAACTAAGGTTGTGCTATGGTGAATGTGATGGTCAACTCGGCCTGACCCAAGAAGGGAAGGTCTAACAGCAGTGGGGAATGGCTCACTGTCCAGACCCATCAACTGCCCAGCGTCCATGCTGTGATTACTGGGGTACTCCACTTTGGTGGGTGACAATCTTGGAGGGGAATACCAGTACAAATATTTGGCACTTCAATCAGCTTGATACATGCCACTATGGATTAAATTTATCAAATATGACATCATCTTAAATGAACCTTCTGCAGATGTCCAGCTACTGGCTACTAGATGGATAAGAAAAGAACTAAGAGCTTTGAGGAATATGAGGTTGAATTCATCACTGTTCCTTTTCCCAAGTTTATTTGCCCATGTGAGCCTGTCAACACAGTTTATGTTTTGCTTTGTTTTTTATGCTGCTTTTATTTGTGAATAGAAAACACAGTTACACGATATCCAATTAAGGATAAAAAAGAGGATACACTAGAAAAGGAAGTATTTCTTCCACACTTGTTTCTCAGGCCCCTGGTTCCCCTTCCTCCAGGCAGTCATGGTCACATGTTCCTTGTGTCTTCCTGGATACACAAGTGCAAATATTTTACCGGATCAGTAGCTTGCTCTGTGAACTTTCTGCATTTTGCTTCCTGGCTTAAAAATGTACTGTGGGAATGTATCATTCTTTTGAACAGTTGCATAGTACTCCACTGCACTATTAACCAACTAACTGATAAATTGCTTTCAGAGTCAATCCCTACACATACAAGTCCTTGTGTTAGAACAGAATGGTTCCCCAGTTTTCAAGGGCTGATTTTTCTATGGTGAATGGATTTAAAAAGACACTCAAAACTTGAATACTTCCGTTGTTATGCTACCCAGATCCATGTTGAAGTAAGTTATTAAAATCAAGGCTGAGAGCTATTTACCCAATCCTAACAGATTCCTGGCTGTGTAATGGATTAAGCATAGGGCTGCTAAACCAAATGATTGAAACCATTTTTAGTCCACCAGGCACTCCACAGAAGGAAATGTGGCCAGCTACTTTCACAACGTACAGCCTCGGAAAGCCTATGGAGTGGTTCTGTCCTGTCCAATAATGTCTCTTTGAATTAGAATAGACTCAGCTACTGAGGGTTTTTGATTCCAGGATGCACAGCCATCACTGATCTCATTTAAAATGTTGATCCTCCAAGTTTCCTTATATATGGACTATGCCATGGCAATAAAACCAACAAACCGCAGTGCAAAGAAACCAATGAAGACATTTAAAAGTCTGAAGTCTGCAATCTTATTATGCTTCAGTATTTCACAAAAATATTTTCCTTGGAACCATCAATTGTGCTTGAACAGTTAAGAAAAGCGTTATGGAGAGAGACTCGATAGCATAGCACAATGGCAATATTTGTATTTTGCAATTATTTTATCATTTTTATTAAGTTTTCTTTTATGTAAGTTGCATAGAAGGATGTACTATCTTTTCGTCTCATGATTATATTAAAGCTATTACCTTAAAAAAAAAAACCCTGAAAAAAAGTTTAACAGTGGGTAACAGCGAATGATTTTAGTTTTCCTTTTTAATGTGTCTCGATTATTTTCCATAAATGTGTATTGCTTCTGATCTCTGTATCTATATGTATTAGAGGAGCTCTGGTCTCTGGTGGCCTAGTGGTAAGAAGGTGTGTTGCAATCCCAAAGACACATGGTTTGAATCCACCAGCTGCACCACAGGAGAGGGATGGGCAGTCGCCTCTTGTGTTCTTTATTGCTTCTGAAAATATCCTGGAAGATCAGCTATGAATCAGTTTTGACTCAACAGCACACAACAATGGGTGGAAGAGTTTCCTGCCAGTCCCATTTATGAGGTGGGAAAATAAAGGGTTGTTAAGCAATATGCCCACCTCTGCTCTCTAGCCCACTTCCGTCCCCAGTGACTACTCACAGTGACTTCCTTCCCCAGGCTGATGGAGGCCAGGACTCGCTTCATTCCTTCCCCACTTCCAATCTGCCAGATCATGGCTTCTGCAGCTTGGTTCTTAAAAGGCCAGTCTCTTGCCTGTAGCTCATACCAGATAGTCCTGTGGAGAACAGTGCACACAGAATGAGCTCCTAGAGGGTCCCAGCTCATGCCTGGTGTCCCCGAAGTCAGAAGTTTGGCTCTTGAAATGCCAGGAACTGAGCTGGAGGACCAGGATCCCTTTACAGTCCTTCTTCATCCCACCAGGCTTCATGAGACACCATGATGGTATCCCAGAGGCCTCTGCCCATATGAGAGGATTCACTGTGGTAGAAAGGGAGGCGGGCTCCCAGCTGAGGTACTTGTGGTTGTTCTGACCTGAGTTTGACTACCAGCTCTGCCACTGCTGAGCTGTGAAATAGGGTTGGTGTCTACTTCACAAGGTTATTTGAAGAGAGTGTAAAACCCCATGTTCAGTGCCTGGTAGAGGCTCAGGAAATGGTGGTCAAGGGAGAAGGAGATGGGAGCCCAGGCCAGGGTGGGGGAACGAGGTCTTAGAAATTACAGGCAGTTGGTTTAATGAGGCCTTTTACTCAGCTCTCAAGTCTCTCTGGCCTGTTCCACTTATCCTGAGGAGTGGGGGGTCTCCATCAGTTATATGCTGTCACTTGCTTCAGAAGCGTATTGAGCATCTGAGGTGCTGAGAGTCTAAACAGAGATGTTCCATAGGTGTTAAACACATACACGACTTTGAAGGGGAAAAATATAGACAAAATATAGCAAAAGGCTGCCAAAAGAACAGATATGTCATGGAGAGGGTGCAGCCAAAGTGCTCCTTGGAGACAGACGGAGATAACAAAGCTTTGTCTCACATACTGCGGGCATGTTGCTAGGAGAGGCTATTCCTTGGAGAAGGACATCATGCTTGGAAAGGTGGAGGGTCAGTGAAAGAGAGGAAGACTCTCAATCAGATAAATTGACACAGTAAGTGCAGCAATGGGCTCAAGTGTGTCAGAGATGTTGAGTGAGGACGGCACAGGATAGGTCAGGGTTCAGATCTGTTGTTCATAGGGTCATTATGAGTTGTAATCGACTTGACGACACCTACCAACATTGACAATGGTGATACAATAATTATTTATGCTGATCACATATTTAAATCACAACATTTTGGATACATACGAAGTTACAACGTATTACTAAAATGGATCTCACTTTCTTCCTTTTTATTGTATACACTAGGATATCTTGAATTACAAATAATTCAAGTTATGAATGAGAGTCATTTCTAACTTTTAAGAATTTGTTGGTCAGTTGTTAACATGTGTATATGGTTCTCATTTACCCTTACTTCAACGCAAACAAGGGCCTGAAGCCTTTTCATAATTTAAAAACTGCACAATGCTGCCCTGTTCAAACATGGCGGCACACTGCTCAAAGATAGTGGCAACCTAATCAAAGATGGTGACATCCGGCCCAAAGATGGTGGCGACATGCTCAAAAGTGGCCCACCGTACTAAACTGAATGGGTGTGGCTTTCCACAGACCTGCCAATAATCCTATCTCATATATACCTGGCATTTTAAAGAGTTCACACCCTGCAAGTCTCTCTCTTCCAAGCCTCCATTCCAGGGCTTTGACACATAATTTTTCCTTTTCTAGTTACAATGAAAAAGTACTCAAAGATGACAAACTGCTCAAAAGCATCCTAATGTGCAAACACACTTGGTGAGTGTCTGTGGGAAGCCAAATTTCACACTAACTACTTATAATAAACCAAATGCTATGTCAGAATATGAGGGAGGTGGGGATACAAGCTGGAATTTACCCTGAAGCACCAAGTCAGACCTCAGGTGTTCACAGGTGTTAAATGCTAAGGCAGACCTTTAGTGTTTACACAATTCTTGTTATTTACTAACCTTTCCCTCCTGAGTCAAGCATAAGGTTTTCAATAGAAAGGGCTTCATTTGCATAGAATTCTCTTTGTGATTTGCTCCCTAGCAATTTTCAATAAAGGCATAGGGAAGCTGGGTTCAGTGCTTCAGTTGTTTGCTTGCTCCCTGCTTTACTTGTTTTCATATACATTCTTGGTGTTCTGTCTTGTTTTTCATTCTTTACTCTCGGTCAACAAGAAGTGTCCTCACAGGGCAATGGTGAGAAGCACCAGTGTCAAGCATCTTACACAATGGTCCAACTTAATCCCCAGAGGTTTTTGGACATGTTGCAAGGAGGGATAGGTCCTTGGAGAAGGACATCACGCTTGGTAGGGTGGAGGGGCAGTGCAGAAGGCGAAGGTCCCCTATGAGGTGGACTGATTCAGTGATTGGGGTAATCGGGATGGGTGTGTCAGAGACGGTGCGATTGACACAAGACAGAGCAGAGTTTAGGGCGGTTGTACATAGGGTCGCTATGATTCGACAAGCGACTCGACGGCACATAACAACAACAATCCCCCAAAGCAACTCTACCAGGGAGGTGCGACTATTCCTCACATTACAGGTGGGCAAGGACGGCCACTCACTTAACAAGTGGCAGAGCCAGCACTCAAGAGCCAGCATTCTGGCATTTCATCCCAAAGCTTGGGCTCTAAATACTGCAGCACACAGCTCTCCTGTCGGCCAGCGGTCGTCACCAGGACCTCTCGCTTGGCCTCAAAGCCCTAGAAGGGAGCACATCGGAGCCTCCTTACCCAAATGCATAGACATCAGCGGCTTTGGAGAACGGCAGCTTGTCCTCATCCTTCCCTGGGGTCATCTCACGTACAATTTCAGGGGCCAAATAGCACAGCCAATCGTGTGACAGTTTCAGCTGGTTCTCACGCCTGGAGGCAAAGAAGGTAGAACAAAGGCACCAGGTTGATTAGCCACACACAACAAAGGTCTGCCAGACACATCCACCTCAGGGCCTGCAGACCCCTATCCCAAGCAGCCCAGAACTGGGGCGCGACATCCTTGCAAAGGCATCATCAGTGTTTGGAGAATCATTTATGGGAGCAATTATCAAGATCCTTCTAGAAAAGCAGTCAAAAATGGGTGTTGGCAGTGAGCTGCACATTGTAAGGTGCCTGATTCTCAAAAGGAGTTTCTCCATTCAGGAAATCAGATCTTCCTGGGAACTCCAACCTGGCCAGGGCCAGAATTCTGTGCCCTTTGTGGGACCTGAGATATTTGGAGGCAACATTTCCCCACATTTAACCCTTTCAAGGTTTGGGGAAGATGAAACTTTGCATTCTTTCTCATACAGGCAATGTGAACCCTTGTTCCTGGTCAAGCTGATAAATACATAGACTGAGTGGGAGGGAAGTGCAACAGGATCCTGGGTTCTCACACTTAAAATCACGTGCTTTGGGAGACCTGAACTTTACCTACAGCTGGTTCTGCAGATGAGCTGGAGTGGGGAAATCTGGTCTTTCCCACAGGATGCTTTGTGGGCACCTGACAGCAGAGACTTCAGCTAACCCTCAAGGCCTCGTGTGTCACCTCTCCCTACCCCTCATCACCCCTATCCCAAGTACCACCCTCTTTCTTCCTGATGCCCAGGGCAACTCACCGTTCCTCTCGGACCACGCCTGAGATCCCAAACAGCCCGAAGTCTGTGATGACCACTTTGCCATTGTCATAGAAGACGTTCTTGGATTTGAGATCTTTGTGTACGATGCCCTTGGCATGGAGGTATCCCATGCCCTGGAAGACAGTGACCTCACATCAGGTGGGGAGGGAAGGCTGGATGGATGAGTGGGAACTGAGCTTCTACTCATGGCCTGGCACTGGGCTAGGTGCTTTATCAACAACATTTCATTTAATCCTCAAAATCTTGTGCAGGATAGATTGTCCCCATTTTACAAATGAGGAATTTGAGGCTTAGAGAGGGATAGTTACTTATTCCAGGCCACACAGCAGTTAAGGAGCAGAGCTGTGGTCTGATTCCAGGCTAGTCTATGTTCTTTCCAAGTTACTATGCTGCCATATAGTCAGATCCCCTGAAGCTGGCTCCCATACAGACACCTAAGACCTAACCCCATGAGGCTAGATCCCACACAGACACCTCAGAGCAGACCCCCTGAGGCTGGTTCCCATATAGACAACTTAGACCAGGCCCAAGAGGTTGGATCCCATACAGACACCTCAGAGCAGATCCCCTGAGGCTGGATCCCATATGGACATCTTAGACCACACACCTCAGAGCTGGACCGCATACAGACACCTGAGGCCAAATCCCATAAGGCTGGATTGCATACAGATACCCAAGACCAGATCCATGAGGCTTGGTCCCACAGGGACCTTAGACCAGATCCCCTGAGACTGGATCCCATACAGACACCTCAGACCAGGCCTATGAGGCTGGATCCCATAGAGACACCTCAGACCAAATTCCATAAGGCTGGATTCCATACAGATATCTGAGACCAGATCCCCTGAGACTGGATCCCATACAGATACCTGAAATCAGATCCCCTGAGGCTGGATCCTATACAGACACTTCAGACCAGGCCCATGAGGCTGGATCCCATACAGACACCTCAGACCAGGCCCATGAGGCTGGATCCCATACAGACACCTCAGACAAGGTCTATGAGGCTGAGATGCAAGGAGTGGAGGGTGATGAATGGGGGTAGGAGGATGTATGCATGCTAAGCCATGAAGGACCCAGATGACCTGAGGTCTCTGTCAGACTTAGCAAGCTGGTCTCTGTCCTCAGACTGGAGGAACACAGATTCACACCGATGAAGTCTGGTGATCCCATTATCTGTGTAGAAGCAATACTGGACTGAGATAGAAATCCTGGGTCTGAATCCTTTAGAAGCTCAGATTCTAACTCACTGTGTGGCCTTGGACATGTTACTGAGCTTCTCTGAGCCTCAGTTTCCTTAACTGTTGAAGAAAGGCCCACATGAGGGATTTCTATCCAACACCCTATCTGGATTGAACCATGATGAGTCAGGCACACAGGGTGTAGGTCATCCAAGGTCAAAGCTGTCTTCCAACACCAGTCCCGTTAGATGGTTGCCTGACTCATCAGTGCTGCCTCACTCAAGATTTGCCAAACTTCTCTGGCTTTCAAGGTATCTTAGGGTGAGGACGGAAAGGCGAGATCTGGAGAGAAAACAGTTCACTTTTAGGAAGCCCAAAGGTGAGTCCTGAGGCAGAGCCAGGCAGATCTCAGGGCCCAGCAAGAGCCTGGCCGAGTGGGTCTGGAGAGCAGTGAGAAGGCGGCCTGGGCGGCTGGGAGGATGTGGCTGCTCTGACCACTTCCATCAGGGCTGCTAAGAGCTGCAGCTCTACAGTAGCAGCAGGAAGCTCCTGGAAAGAGCTACTCTGAAAACCAAACCCGCTTCTACAGAGATCTCAACTCACAGCAAACCTTCAGCACAGAGTAAAAGGGCCCCAGAGGGTTCCAAAATGATCATCTTCATGAAAGCAGAAGGCCATGGCTCCCACAGAGCAGCTGGTGGGTTAGAGCCTCCTAGTGGCAAGAAGCTGCACTGCAACCCCAAAGGCATGCAGATCACCAGCTGCTCTGAGGGAGAAGGACCCAAAATCTCCTTCCGTGCAAATTTACTGCCTTTGAAAACCCTCTGGAGCGCCAGCTATGGGTTGGTTCCGACTCTATGATATACAACCACTGCTATTCTGTTAACAGTTCAGTGCTTAACCACTGTACCACCAAAACCCCTTAAAGAGTCACATACTCCTTCAAAAATGCCATGCAGCTTAAAAGATCTGCCCAATTCCCCAGATGAACCACATTACAATTCTTCCCTGATAGTCCAATAATGTCGAAGAAGGGCTAAACAAAGGCCAGCTGTGTGACTGAGGGCAAGCTGCTGTTCCTCTCTGAGCCCAGTTCCCTCATTTACTCAACAGGTATCATACCCTGGAAAGGCGTCTGAAGGCAGAGCTGGAATACAAATAATTTCTCCTTCCCATACTTCATTGCATTTCTATAGCATCCCCAAAGCTGTGAATTCTCACACCCAGGCTGAAGCCCAGTTTCGCCCTGTGTTGAGCCTCAAAGCACCAGAGAAAAGCACAAAAATAGATGGCTCAGAAACTCTCAGCAGAAGAGACAGAAAGTGTATTCTCAGCAGCATAAAAACCAAACACAACAAGCAAAGAGGTAGCTTCCAGTTCTGTGATTTCAACACCTCCTTTCCTCTGCCTGTTTCTACAAATAAAGATGGGAAATGCTTGGGAGACAGGAGATAGAAGGAAGCAGGGTCTAGCAAGCTTTGGGGAGAAAAAAAGTGCAGGTAACACTAGGCCTGACCAAACACTCCAAAACATAAAACAACAAAACACAACACAACAAAATGAGAGTGTGAACCCGAGACCTGAGTTCTGGCTTCCACAGAATTCGATTTATTTATTAGTTTAGCCATGTGTTAAATGATTTGTGCAAATATCACTCTGTTATCTTTTCCTTTATAAAGAAACACACACAAATGGGAGGGAAAGCAAGAGAGGACAGAAAACATAGCCTTTTACTAAAACTTATTTAAAAAAAGAAAAAAACTCTACCCAGTAGTGTTTTGGATTCTATACGGGTCTGTTATTAAATTTTAAGGGGAAAAGCACAGGCCCTTTCACCGCCCTCCTAAACAGAACACCCTCACTTTGCCCCTAACACTCTAAGTGCCAGCACCGTGATGAACATGTCTACATGTGTGGTTATTTCTATCCTCGCACCAACCCAACGAGGGACATTATCCTATTATTGTGCCCATTTTACAGAGAAGGAAGGAAATGGAAGCTCAGAGAGGCTAACCAAACTGCCCACACTCACACTGCTGATATGATCAAGAATTTTAAAATCAAGCTGCCTAATCTTCTCTCCTAAAAGCCCTTTAGAGGTCCTCCCCAACTCATTAAAATTCCAAATGGTTCCTTGCTCTAACTAGACAAAGACAGGGACAGAGATGAGGGGACGGGGCCTCCCCCTCAAGAAGCCGAAGCTCATGGGGAGGAGGGTCAGACACCAGTTATGGTGACAAAGCAGCGGGACGACCAAGAGCTCGGGAACCCTCTGGAAGCCCAGCCCCCAGCCTCACCCCCAGCATCCAGAAGCTCCTTTTACCTTGATGATCTCCTGAGCAATCTGCCTCGTCTTGTTGATGTCCAAGGACGTCTTGGGGTCCCTCACAAACGAGTGCAATGTCCGCCCCTTGCAGAAGCTGTTGAGAGTGGGAGGGGTGTTATGGGTCTGGGGGTCATGCAGCCTAACCATACCCCTCAGGAGACCTGGGAAGAGTCGGGTAAGGAACGCTGTGCCCATCTCCTTCCAGAAGGCTTTCTCTGTCCCTACAACTGTGAGCTCCAGAATTCCTGTTCTTAATCAAGTCTCTTGTCCATTCTTCCTGAATGGTCAAATGTGCTTAATAACCCATGAACACACATCCTGCTCCTGAAGTCCAAGACTTGTTCACTCTTTTGACACAAGAAATGGAATACATCAAAACTCCTGGCAATGGGTCTTAAAAGCTTTTAAGTGGTCAACCACAGTATAATTGGTGTCTATTTGCCTGGAGATACAATGTCAGAGATAGGAATGGGAAATGTCTATTGTTTCCATGAATAAATACTTCCTTTGTCATGAAACCAGACAAACTAGATGGTGCCCAGCTACTGTTACTGAATAGTACTTTGATCAAATATTCTACAGAACAATCAACATCACTAAATTATAGATGTAGAAGCTAATGAATTGGTCTGTGCTTTCTTGTATACATCCTCAACAACAAAATTTTAAAAGATTGTATAGGGGAAACAAATCCTGACAAAAAAATTAAAAAAAAAATATGAATGAGGATACCATGTTTTCATAGAACTCATATTTTCTGGAGTCAAAGAGGCCAGCCAAACCCTCACCACTGCTGGACTGAGATACTCTGTACACCAAAAATATCCTTTGAAAATGTCTTTAAAACAAACATCTTCAAAACAAAATTATTTAGAAAGAATGCCTTGAATGTCATGCTCTTTTGAAGAAGTATCTATATGGGATTAAAGTAACAGCAGCAACTCAAAAGTTCAGATAAGAATCTTAGCGGGCAATGAGTTCATGTTCATGTTCATGTTCTTGGGGGAGAAATTATTCCGAAAAGAAGGGCAAGAATGGCCAGACAAGATGAATGTAATCAACTGCACTGGACTGTATGTGTAGAAAGTGGTGTTCTCGTATCGTTTTGCTGTGTACATTTTCAACAAACAGTAAAATGACAAAGTTACTGGCAATTCAGAGCAGCTGATCCTCAGAGAGTCCAAGGCAGGAACATGATTATAAAACCTAAGTGGGAGTCATCTGGTCTTTTAGGGAACAATCAGGCAACATGAGGACACTTGAGAGCACTGCAATGAATCTCAGTGTTTTTACTATTATTATTTCCATTAAAAGAAGGGAGGCAAACCCAACTCATTTGCATTGAGTAGGACCTGATCCACAGATGAACTCCCATTGGCTTTCCAAGGCTGTGAACCACACGAGAGATTGTCCATCTCCCTCCCAAGGAGCCCTAGTGGATTGGAATCATCTGAGGGGCATGGTCTTTGGGTCAATGACACAACTTACTCTTCTGTTCCTAGAAAAAGTAGACTTAAGCCATCACACAAAGGGGTCTTTTAAAAATAATGGGCCAATGTGGAGAGTCCTGAGAGGGCACTCTTCCCAGGCTCTAACCCGATGGTGTATGGGAACTTAGGTCTCTGCCTGATAACGTACAGTTCTTTCTAACACTGGGATAAAGCTTGGCCTTGAGCCTGTGCCTCCATATTCTTACAGCTTCCCAGAGTCCTGTGGACAATAACTGAGGAGAAAAACCATTCAGGGAACAGACTTTCAGAATACTGTTTTAATCTGAATTCTGTTTTGTGACTTAAGACTTGTTCTCTCATTGAATCCAAGATGACTTAGATTTGGTCTGCTGGAGAAGGAGGGATAATCTCCTCCTGTACCAGTCAGATCCAATTTGATGGCACACACAAAATAATAAAATTAGTAATAAAAAAAAAGAGTTTTAAAAAAAAAGATGACTAAGATTAGTGATGAGGAACCTCGCTTGTCTTTTGAGACAGATTAAAAGTTTCACTTGGCACATTTGAATGTTCGTATCTTTTAGACTGTGTTAAAGATCATGATTTATATTATCTATAGATAATATGGCAATTAATTCCAAGTGTTAAGTACTTGGGTAGTAGCCATATTTTTAAAATAAAGATGATGTCTTCTAAAAAAAATAAATGGATTTTAACTGCAATAAAGATGAGCAAGGAGGAAGATGATGGATGGGATGCCTATTAAGAGACATCAGACCAATTATTGGGAAATGGTTTATACTTTGGGGATGATACCTACATTCACTTCTATCATCAAGGATAATAAAGGACCCAGAGAGCATGATAGAGCTCATTCCTCTGGTCCGGGGAAAGGGTAACTTAAACCATCACACAAATGGGATTTCTATTTAAAGGAAAACTTCCTTGAGATAAAATTCTTGGGGCCTCAGCCAGAGCGAGGGCCTCGGAGGTCTGCTGATGGTCTCCTTGTTGGTGGGCCCTTGCTCTTCAGCTATTCGAGAACACTCTAAGTTTGGTGTTGTTGTTAATGAATCTTTTGTGTCCTCCCAAACAGCAGGGCTCCCCAGAACAGATGAGGCTGGGCTGGCCCGGCCTGGGTGAGGCGGGGTGGTTACCTCGTGATGATGGCCAGGTGTGGCGGGTTCATGCAGGCCCCCATGAAGAGCACCACGTTCTCGTGCCGGGTCTGCCGGTAGTTCATCACCTCCTTCTTGAACAGCTTCAGATGGTCCTGGTTGTGCCCGTCCATCTCCAGCAGGCGGATGGCCACCTCGCCGTGCCAGCGGCCACGGTGCACCCGGCCCCAGCGGCCCTGCCCGATGGGCTCGCCCAGTTCCACTTGCTCAAAGGGGATGTCCCACTCCTGCAAGTACACGCTGGTCTGGCTGGCCTTGCGCGAGATGGGACCCCGCCAGGTCCGGCAGGAGCTCGGCAGGTCGTCCACCTCGTCCTCATCATCTTCTGCGTCCGACTTGCCAGCCTCTGGCTCCTCGGCCTGGAAGGAGAGGAGAAATGGGAGAGAGAGCCAATGGGAGCTCATCTATGGATCAGGTCCTACTCAACGCCTGGCCAGTGGCTCTTCCTTCTTCCAGAAGCTCCAGAAGATAAGAGAGAAATCAGAGAAGATTCTAGTTGCAGTTCTACACTGACTTGCTGAGAACAGCAGGCAGGTTGCTTAGCCTCTCTGGGGTCCATCTCCTCATCCACAAGGTCTACAAGGTTCTTTGACTCGTGACCTTTCCAAGATCTATCTATAAGCACTTTGTAATCACTTAAGGAGAATGTTCACATCCCGGCCTCATTCATCCCTGCTGGATATTCTTTCGTCTAAATACAGAGGTTCCAACTTTCCCTAGACTCAATCAATCTGTTAACTCCCTAAGCCATACTTCACTGCTGGGAGTCAGGCCCAGTTAAAACTTCAAGGCGCAAGGCAGTGGGACCAGAATCTGGGGTACACACACACACACACCAGTAGCTCTGTGGGAGAAAGATGGACAATCAGGTCCATGTGATTTACTGCCTCTGAAAACCTGCTGGAGGGTCTGTTCAGACCTGACGGTACACAGTAATAACAGGCAGGGGCTGAAGACCACTAGAACTAAGAGGCTGCCTTTGTTAGCTGCAAAAACACAGAAGCAGCTCTAAGAGAGATGCAAATCAAGACAACTATGAGATGACAACTCATCCCAGTAAAACTAGCAAAATTTAACAGAACAGCAAGCAACAAATGCTGGTGAGGTTGTGGAGAAAGTAGAACCCTTATTCACTGTTGGTGGGAGTGTAAAATGATGCAACCACTGTGGAAGGCAGAGTGGCACTTTCTCAAAAAGTTGCAAATAGAGATATCATTTGATCCAGCAATTCCACTACTGGGAATATATCCTAAAGAGACCAAAACCGACATCCAAGCAGATATATGCATACCCATGTTTATCGTGGCTTTGTTCACAATAGCAAGGAGTTGGAAACAACCTAAATGCCCATCAACAAACAAATGGAGAGTAGCTGTGGTATATTCACACAATGGAATACTGCGCTGCACTGAAAAACAAGGAACTCATGCAATATTATTCAAAATGGGTGACCCTGGAGGACATTATGCTGAGTGAGATATCTCAGTCACAAATGGACAAATACTGTATGGTGCCACTGTTGTAGAATGAGGCTGACATCAGGGTGGGGGTTAGACTGAGAAAAACTGGAAAAATTATGTATACTGCATTGAAGCTGATGAGGGAAAGAACAGTTTAAAAGTAATATATTTTAGGGCATTATGATTATCATAAGAGTTCTGAGTGAGGGTTGCAGAGTGGAGTATACTCAGGGTGGGGGTGGTGGGTGCGGTGGGATTGTATACCAACGAAGGAGTTTTTCTTTTGCTTTTCAAGGAGAGGAGCAAACTGGGGGTCTGGGTGGGTTGGGTGGGGAGAAAAGTGCAACAATAAATGAATGGAAATGCAAAATCTCTGTAAATGTTCATTGATATTAATAAAAAAAAGTAAAAAAAAACAACAACAACACTCAAAACCCACAGAAGCAAAAAGGAGGTGGTCTCATTGTTTCCCTTCACTCATACCCAGTTCCTCTGTCCACTCCCCAGGCCCTGTACGTTCTTGTACAGAATAGTAAGGATGGGAGGGTAGGGGGAGGAGGGACTGTCTATGGCCTGTGAGGGTCACCTTGACTCACCTCCGCCTCGTGATCCTCCAACATGTTTGCTTTTGGATGGTCGTTGAGCCTAAGAACAAACAGGATTTGTTGTCAAAGAGACCTGAGGTTGGACCACTCTCCTCTCAGAGGACAAATGGTCACGAGGCCTGACTTGTCACTGAGCCACTTTTCTCTGGGGAAGGCAGTGTGGACACAAGGAACAGGAGAAGGAGGAGCATGTCTCGCCACTTTCCTCTGCCAACCTCAGCCTTCTCTGGGCTGGAGGAGGTGAGTGCAGTATTCCAGCAATGCTCTTTCCAAATCTGACACTGTGTGCATGGATTTCAAGCACATACACAGGACATGGAATCTGACAGGCTTCCTTTTGAGAACTGACTTTATCGTTTCCTAGCTGTGTGACTTTAGGCGATTTCCTAACAGCTCTGAGCTGCTTCCTCTCTGTGAACAAGAGGCTGACTCCTAGTCAATATCTGCCTCACCGGGTGAGGACCCTCTGAGGTGATGGGATTCAAGTGCTCGGCACAGCCTGACACAGGAAAGGTCCAGAAACAAGGTGGCAGACCCTGTGGCCCTCTGTTTCCATGTCCACCTGCAGCCCCCCTGAGTCTCACTGAGCCAAAAAACAGGCAAACAGCCCTCTGGCCATGGTCACTGCCATCTGACTAGCCCAGATACACTGGAAGGTCCTGCCCAGGAGACTTAAAGGTGGGAGGCTGGGGTAGGCCAAGCATTGGAAGTCCCAGGGAAGAGAAGGGGGTACCTACCGGGGACTGTCTGCTGCATCTGGGGGCGGGGCTGCCAGTGAGCAGGAAGAAATATCTGCAAGAACAAAATATAAACGGAAAACATGAGGCCACATCCCCCGCCGCCCAGGGGACAAGGCTTCTGCAGGTCTCCAGCCACCTCCGCTAGGACTAGCGTGTGCCTTTCCCCAAAACATGGCATGACCTGGGCTCCTCTGCACCTGGCCCAGGAAGAGACCCAGGCAAGCAAGATGGCTGAGATGTCCCCTCAGCTCCACAACCTTGTGGCTAAGGTGCCACTGGAAATGGCAAAAACAAATGGAATTTTTATTGAATGGGTGTGTGGGCCAGACCCTTCTCTGCATAGGGCCCCCAAGTAGGAGGCAGGGGCTGCTTGCACCAGTTCTCGAAGGCAGTGAGGCTCTCTCAGCAGGTTAGGTCCGCACAGGCTGCTCCTTAGCGCCACTTGGTGCCCCGAGCAGCTGCTGAGAATTTCCAGCCAGAGGCCCCAACTCTTTGGGGTTGGAACTCTTTGTAGCAACTCTCACAGGGCAGGAAGAAATAAACTATCCACACATCAGGGATCCTCAGACTGGGCACCAAGAGCTGACCCTTGGCTTTAGTATCAGTGTTGCATGTCCCTACAACACCAGGATAGATGGTCAAAGTGCTACAGAGTCAGAGTGCTACAATCGAAACCCTTTATTGTGGCTGGATCCACCTGGGTCCCACACTCCCTCCCCTTCCTCTAGCAGGAGGAGAGGGACAGGAGCTACCTGTGGCTCAAATTCAGTGGCCCCTCCCCATTTTCTATGACAGGGACCTTCCTCCCTCAGCCACCTGCTCTTCCTTCACTTGCCCTACTGGGCTTCCTCCAAGGCAGCCATTGAAAGTCACCAGAACCAGATGTTTGTTCCTTTGGGACCTCATAGAATGAGACTCCAATAGTCTTTCCTTCTCAAGAAGGATGGTGCTCCAAGCATCCTCTGAATAATTTCTGGGAGATCCTGGCTCTAGAAGCCTTTGCTAACATCTCTCTCTGCCCTGCCCCAAACACCAGCACATCCTATCTGAAGACTTCCAGGCTCAGACTGGCATTTCCACTCACTCCAAGCTGATCAAATGAGACAGACAGGGGCAGGGTAATCAGGGAGCAGAGGCTTGGGAAGAAATGGGATTCTAAGTGATAAGGCAAAAATCTCTTTCAAGTCTTAGGCTCTTAAAAATTGAGAGTGATCTGATTTGACGGTACACACACAAAAAATAATAAAGTTTTTTTAAAAAAGTTGAGAGTGTATTTTGCATTCGGCTTTGTTGTCTTAAATGCTTTCTCTCTACCATCACATTCTGGAAGAAGAGCCATCATTTTGTGTACTCTCTGCAAATAGTCCTGGAGCCAGCAACCAGGGAGGACCTTTGAAGAGGGGGTTTGGCAAAAGCAAATGTGAAACCAGAGAGGCAGCTTGGCTCTTCCCGGGAGCGTCTTCTGGGTGAGCTCCAGGCGCCTGACCTCTGCCAGCCTGCATCCACCTGGGAAAAGCCGTATACGTGGTCCTGCAACGGCTTACCCATGAGAGGGCTGGCACAGGGAGAGCAGAACCTGGAATCACGAAAATACTGTGGCTCTGAGGAAGCTCTGTTTGATCCACTAAGAACAGTAACAGCTCCAGACTTCACCATCTATAGAACAGGAATGAAGGCTTTGAAAGTCATGGTTACTCAATACGAATCCTTACCATCGTCCACTAGGGGAACACGGAAGGAGCTGCTTATAAACCTTTGGGAAAGGAATATGGTTGAGGCACACGGTGTGTTTGCAACATGAGATGCTCTTCCTTTTTCTTTGAAACTTTCTACAATAAAAAAGCCCTTGTGGTACATTGGGTTAAGTTTTAAGCTGCTCAACAAAAGGTCGGTAATCTGAATCCACAGGATCTCACAGGAGAAGGAGGTGCAGTCTGTTTCCACAAAGGTTTACAGCTTCAGAAACTGTCTGAGGCAGTTCTCTTCTGTTCTACCAGGATGAGATGGACTTGACTTAATGAAAGTAGGTGGTGGTTCCACAATAAAAAGGCAGTTCCAAAGATGGCCAGCAGAGAGCGCTGTGTAGCAAAACTCGGAAAGGCCTGCAGCCCTTTCCAAATCTGGTAGCAGTTGACCTGTCTTTGTATTGTTGTGTGATGTTGAGTTGAAACCTTTGAACCAACCCAGAGCTGACCTTCCAATGGGTTTGCAGAGGCAGTAAATTGCATGGGAGGAGACTGTCCATTCTGTGGAGCAGCTGGTGGATTTGAACCAAATGCCTTTGGGACTGCAGTGCAGTTTGTCTTTGTGTAAGGGAGGATATTATAACTGATGCTCATTAGGTATCAGCAAAAAGCTCTGTCCTCAATTCAGTAAACCTGGTTCTAATCCCGCTTCTGCCATCTCCTGGCTGTGTGACCTTGAACAAGTCTCTTGCAGTCTCTGCAACAGACCAGACAGAATGAACTCTGAGGTTCCACATAGCAAAGGTGTGTGACTGTGAGAGGCCCACCTTGAGGCCACTCACCTTGTCCATCTGCCTCATAGTCAGCTCTCAAAACCTTCCAGGTGCTCGGAGAGAGGAGACCTAGGAGGGTTGGACAGAGGGGGTCCAAGCAGGGCAAGTTAGTGGAACCATGCAGGACTCACCTGGGAAGATAAACTGCTGTCTATGATGAATGAAGTAGGCAGCTTTAAACAGAAGAGGAGGTGAGTCACACAGGCAGAATGGCACACACAGTGAGAGCGGACGCAGGCAGGCATGGGCTTCCCGCTTGGAAGAGGGGGGCTGGTTAGGAGTCTGGGGCAGCCCTGCACTGCCCCCCACCTGCCTGGACCCAAGGCCTGGTAAGGACAAGGGCATCCACGCAGGAAGAGGGGAGAGAGCTGGGAGAAAAACAGCACTGGGTGCCCTGAGGGACGAGGGTCTGGGGCTACCTTACAGAGCCCTGGCCATGTCTGCTCACTACTGAGCCCAACTCAAAACACAATGGTGAGTGTGCAAAAGTAGACTGGTAGACCAGTGCTGGATCAGGCCTCTCGGCACCACCAGATGGCTGAGCCTTCAGCAGGCAGATTCCCCCTTACAACAAACAAAAACCCTTCTTGGAGTGGATGGACTGACTGGGTGTGCTGGGGTTTTGGAATGTGGTCCGATCCTAACACTCTCGAGGCTCTAGGACCTTGGGAAGTCAGCAACCTCTCCCAGTCTCAGTTGCCTCACTGTAAAGTGAGCATGTAAACAACCACCCTTCCAGGGCTGATACTTGCAGATACACTGAAATGCTCTCGTACTGCTTAGTGGACAATGCCGAATAGATGGGAGGACTGAAGGAGCGCCTTCCCCAGAACTAGCCCAGCCCAACCCTGGGGGAATTGTGGGTTCGGCATTGGCCACTCTTTTCTGGTGGACAGAGTGAGGGCTCTGTGCAGGGGACAATGAGGTCCTAGCCTGCGGAACACAGCGGAAAGCTGAGAAGGTCTGCCTGACCCAGCAATAGGACTTTTTCTAAGGCTGTGGTTTTCCAAATAGGCCTTTCCTTTTAGAACTCAGAATAGGACGGTTAGAAAAAGGCATGGTTCCAGAGCAATATAATGACAGCGGAACTAGAGAGGACGTCAATCAAATGGGCCATCAGTG